TCATTTGTGTTCAAATTGTGTTCACGGTTGTTCATTTGTGTTCAAATTGTGTTCACGGTTCATTTGTGTTCAAATTGTGTTCACGGTTGTTCATTTGTGTTCAAATTGTGTTCACGGTTCATATGTGTTCAAATTGTGTTCACTGTTGTTCATTTGTGTTCAAATTGTGTTCACGATTCATTTGTGTTCAAATTGATCAATACCGAAAATCATTACTACCGTGTTTCTTATGCGAATTAGGAATTCATACAAGAATGAACATGGAAGATCAACAGTAAAAAAAAAATTAATAATATGAATGCATATTTTTTGGGATTTGATTGTTTGTAACTCCCCATTAATTGTTTGGGAGTTACAAATGAATTCAATTTACTAGAATACCTTTTAAAATGAACAAGACTTAAACCTATAAAAATAATGAAATTTGATTGGTTGAGAGGGTTTTCAAGGTTAACACAAAAATGATGGTTAACATTTGATCTTCCCTCTCTCTCTCTCTCTCTCTCTCTATCTCTATATATATATATATATAGACTTGGGATCATGTAAGACCAAAGGTTTTTCGTGAGACCCGTAAGACCAATTCTCAACCATTGGATTAGATCTACAATTTGAACATTCATAATCACAAAATTGTCACGAGACTTCTCAATAATCACAAAATTACTATCATGCAACGTTAGACCATTAGATCATTAGCTTATAAAGTTGATCAATGAACATAAATTGGTTAACATAGCTAACACAAAAAAATGAACATAAGTTGGAATATGATTGGTTGAGCTTGGTTAACATAGTTAACACAAAAAAATTAGTTAGTATTTGAACCAAGCTATATATATATATACATATACATATATATATACATAGGGGAGCGATCAAATGCAAACCACTCAAGTCCATTGTAAAACATCTGTTATCAATATTCCCAATTGCCATTTGGAGATGGTTATATATTGTTTCTAGGTTGGGAGAATTTTAAATCAGTCTTTTCAAAACAGTCGATCCATCCTAATCCTGACCAAAATATGACTAATCTTAGGCTCGTCAACTTGGCTTTGCTCGGTTTTTAAAAAGATTTAAAAATCTTTTTACACAAAAATATTATTAATGTTTTCTTAACAATTATTAATGCTTCTTTCTTTATGATTTTCGAAATTTAGCATTAAACAACACTTTAAATAAAACATTTATTTGAGATTGAAAAATACTTGTATTATAATTAACAAAACTAAAATTGTTTTGAAAAATCGGTTCTATATAACCACTCCCGATCCCACGACCGGTTTCTTACTGGATCGATTCGGACTTTAAAACTCCATAAAGTTTGTAACAAGACCTGAACCAGTATTGGGCTGCATCCGATCTGAGTCTCACTATCTCTAACCCACTTTCCATTAAATAACCAGCCGAGCCCATCTTTTGGAGCACAACCTATCTTTAATTTCATCTAAAGGACCCATCTGTAATGAGAATCAAGTAGTGATGGTCAAAAATCGGTCCCAAGCTTTCTCATAACCGATCATAACCGGTTCCCGTCGAAAATGGTAGGACTGGTCAAGGTAATTCATAACCGGTTATGGGACGTCGGTCCCGGTCCCAACATTAAAAAATAAGATTTTTTTAATGATATATATTTTTAATACATTATAAAACTTACAATTGGGTTACTCAAATACACTTTAAAAATATGTTTTAATATAATTAAAATTATATTGTTTTATAAAAATACATTATAAAATTATTTAAAAATACAATTATTTAAAAATACATTTATTTATAAAATTATTTGAATTTTTAGGCTGGGCCGGACCGGACCGGTCCATAGCCGGTCCCATAACCGGTCCCGGTCCCACGAAACTACCAAAAACCCCAACTGATCCTGGTTTTCGATCCTATAACCGGTCCTTACCGGTCCCGGTCCTCCGACTGTCCCAGGCCGGGTCGGACCGATTTGGCCATCACTAGAATCAAGAATCCAATACAGTAGTGGGCCTGCTGAAATGCATGTCCATGAAGCCCTTGTTGTACGGAATTGGACTAAAACAACCCTTTCTTTTATTTGGGTTGGTTTTTCATGCTTATGATTAGGAATAGGTTATAGGTAGGTAGGGACTCAAATAACTAAAATTGAATAAAAAGTGTAGCCATGCACCTCGATGGATAATATATGAAAACAACGAAAATAAGAGACATTATATGCGTGTCAATCCAAAACAAAGCCCAAATTCTTAGTAGAACAATGATCCTTCCAAATAGTCACGAGTATGATAAGGAGATGACTACAAAACGTTAACTAATCCTAGAAGCTATATTTAGCAATACTAGAAGGGTATTCCTACACAGCGAGATATATTTCGATTTGTATTGTTTCGTTTTATTTTTTTGGTCTCTGTTGATGCTATAATACAGATTTATGTGATTTTGAGTAAATAATAATTATCTACAATTAATTATATGGATTCAAACATAGAGCTTAATAAGTTGTACTTACGCACAATTTTACTTGTAATCTTGAATTTTAAGTAATATCTATACTATCTTATTAATCAAATTTTGTAAAAGTCTTAAAGTCTTAAAATACTAAATGACCAAAATACCCTTTATACTATCTWACCTCACTTTTTCACCTTCTCCACTCCTCACATACACTCACCCTCTCGCAACCATTTTTCTAAAACTATAATTTTAAATTTACACTTTATACCCCTATAATTAATTAATTAATTTACTTTACGTCTTTTACTTTTAAATTAACATACATAATCGTATATCAATTAAAACATGTTTAAAAAAATACATTTTTATTTTAACAAGTTATATCATTATAATCGTCTMGTTAATACCTTCGAAATGAGTCCAATATTGAATAGTTTTTGACTTAATTATATTATTATATAT